TGAAGTAAACAAAAATCTGCAGTAATTGGCTTCTAATGCTTTTCTTATGGAGAACATTTTACGTTATATCTCGTTTTATGGTATCTTTATGGGAATTCTGCTATTTTTCGCGAGTCCCTGGGGTCAAGACCTTTAATTTAAGACATCTCCCACTTTTCTGCGACCTACCAGACGTCCACAATTTTCTGGTAAAAATTTTGTCTTACAGAATTATATATAAGGATAACAGTTTGTTTTGAAACAGCTGTTTGGTTCAAATAAAATTCATTTGAAAAAAAACTGGTCACATGTAGCAGGAATATAAAAAGTAAACACGCTACGCTAGTAAAGCTAATGACGTAATTGTCAATGTTTATTATCCATACCGTTATCAGATCTATCCTTGATAATTACCCACCCTCATTGAATAAATGTACATCGTAATTTCTCATATTAGTTAGTTTAATAAAAGTGATATTTTCACGTTTGGGGGCGCTGTTATAGGCGCCCCCAAACGTAACCACAACTGAACACGATTTCATAAAAGGATGGTTTGTCTAATTGCAGTTACCTAGGTCAATGTTGATGTTGTGTTCAATCTATGTCATCCATCTGTTTATCTTTGTATAAAACCCGGCTGAAGTTGTGGTGGTAATTTAAAATCGTGATTCCTGATTATTCTTTATCTTCTTTTTATGACATCAGTATTTCCGGGCCTAAATCCAAACAAAGTTAAAGCAGACAAACATTAATTGTAAACAAAAAGCTACCATGAAGAATTAAAACATGTAAACTTTGTTATTTTTCTAATCTTTCCTTGAAAAGTGGAGCAGTAAAATAATTTGCATTTATCCTTTTTTATTAACCCTTCCCGGACGGGTGACGGATATATCCGCATAAGTCTTTGGTGATAAAGGACGGGTGATGGATATATCCGCATATGGTTTTTGATGCTCCGGACGGGAAGCGGTTATATCCGCCTTCTTTTCAGACACACTGGCAGGTGCTTGAGCAGTAACCAGCAGATGTTTTGCAGAACCAAGGCGCCACTATCCTGCTCTTTCCATGACTGGGTGACTGCGCTCTCCCCCGCACTCCCCCCTCTCTACTGCGCTAACCCCTCTCTTGCGCCTCACCCCCTCCCGCGCACCTACCACCACTCCTACACCTCCCCTCGACGTTTCGCGCTCAACATTACGTTGTCTCTATTTTTTGTTTACATATTGTTCTTTATTTATTGCCTAACGTTGTCATGGTCATATCTTCAAAGACGGGTGGCGGATATATCCGCTGCATTTCTACTCATCCGAGGACGGGTAGCGGATATATCCGCATAGTTAAAAAGGATAAAAAAAATTATTTTGACAGTATGATGTGTTCCACTGTGTTTCTTTTATGTATACTTGTGTAACAAAACACAAATATGAAACAAAATGTATTTTTTCCTCTAATTTTTTCCCGTCCTATGTCATGATTTGGCCCGTCCGGGAAGGGTTAAGACTCGTGTACAGAGCCTCGATTAGTACTGGGGTTTAAACTGTGGTCTAATTATCTCTACTAATCTTACTTATTTCCTATAATCAATGACAACCTCATAGTTCCATAGTTTATATTTAACCAGCTGTTAGTTAAAACAAATTATATTGCTCTAAAACAAATCGAAGATTACAAAGATTGCTTTAAAAAATAATTTGAACATCCTAGTATTTTACTATGTATATTTAATTAATCTGTCATCCTCTTACAGAAGAATTTAACGTATCAATGATTAGCATTACACATAGTATAAATAAGTCAACCCTAAGTATGTCTTTACATTTTTATCCAAATGCTGAATTTGTGACACAAAAGCTGAATGTTTACAGCTGTTATGTTAAGCAAATTTCTTTATGCCAAAAGCTAGTTTAGAATCTTAGCGTCGGCTGCTAGACTTTTTAAAAATTAAAACTTCATTTCTAAAAAACTGGGACCCTAAATTAAAATTATAGCTTCGACATTCCCTAGTTCTCAAAACTATCTTTCTTTCAACACAAAAATCATGAAAATCCGTCGAGTGGTTGATTCAGAATCGTGAAATAAATAAACACTGTTTTGTTTTAATATTATAGATACTCATAAGGTTAACATGGGAAACTTCAGAGCCACTGGGGCAGAGCCCAAAAGGATTTTTGAGGCAAGAATATGTCTATATGTTAATTGGGAATGTGAGCTATCATTATACCAAATTTCAGCCCAATCCGACCAGTATTTTATGCGTGATTGAACTTCAAACAAACAAACAAATAAAAAACAAACACAAACTTTTACATTTATAATATTAGTAAGATATTTACACTTATACTGTTTGTTTACTCACAAGACTGTAAATACCTATAAAAGATGCTAAGTGGGGATCAATATCAATTGGACACTCCAATCATCTTCAGACCCAATAGGCGAATCACATTCACCTATTACCATTCACCTATTCTCCTATTGGGTCTGATGATGATTGGAGTGTCCAATCGAAATCGATCGCCACTTACCATCTTTTAGCGAATCTCCCTATAGGGAAGTATCTATTACCGTAGGTGGCACGGTAAGACTTAAGCCCGGGACCGATTTACTTTTTCATTTTGATGTCCCCAGAGGCTAAAAATACCATTTGTTCAAATTTTTATATATGTATATATACGTCCGTGAACACAATAACTTGAGTAATTTTTGCCCGATTTTGATGAAATTTTGTTTAAATGTGTAAGGCAGGATAAACTTAAATTAGTTTGCAAACCAGCATGATCGGACCATGGGAACGGGGTTTTACGGAGGGTTTTATGGGGTATAAATGGTTTTTCTAATTTTTGACCCCCAAAACACAAAATTTCCCAATTTCTCTCTAGACCTTTTTAAAGAGCTTAAAAAATCAAATAATTTTGTATATCAAAGTGTTTTTGTACAAGGTAACGGAAAAAATTTAAAAAATTGTAAATTTAAAATTCCCATCGTTATTCTTAAGGAGAATATTGTAAAATGTCTTAGTTTGCTTGTTTATGGTTATATTTTTATCAAACTTGGCAAATTGATTTATTTTTATACTAAACTATTTAATATTTTACTAAAATACCCCCGCCGCAGCAAACCTGCAGACTTAGCGAATTTCCATTTGCCTGATTGGATTTAAACTAAAATGTCTCCTTAAAAATATCACATTTATTCCCTATTTAAACAGAATTAGTTTAATGAGTGCTTAGGTTTGCTGCAACAGGGAGGGTAAAAAAGTTTTTTTTTCATGTAAAATGTTAAAAGATACTGTGGTTTAGTAAGAAATTAATGTATTTTCCAAATTTGATCAAAATATGTTCATAAACAAGCAAACTACAACAGTTGACTTATCCTCCATAAGAATAACATGGGAATTTTAAAATTACAATTTTTTTGAATTTTCTCCGTAACAATTAGGCGCATAATAACGCTTCAATATACTAAATTATTTGTTTTTTTAAGCTCTACAAAATGGTTTAAAAATAAATTGTGAAATTTTGTGTTTTTAGGGTCAAAAATGGGAAAAACCTATTTTTACCCCATAAAACCCCGTTCCCATAGTCCGATCATGCTGGTTCGCGAACTCATTCAAGTTTATCCCGCCTTACACCTTCAAACCAAATTTTATCAAAATCGGACAAAAGTTACTCAAGTTATCGTGCGGATGGACATACATATATATATATATATAAAATTTTGAACGAATGGTGTTTTTGGCCTCTGGGGACATCAAAATAAAAAAGTAAATCGGTCCCGGGCCTAGGTCTTACCATGAGACCTACGGTAATAGCTACTTCCCTATAGGGAAATTCGCTAAAACACACTTTATTAGTTTCCTTGTTGCAGCAAACCTAAGTACTCATTAAACCTATAATGTTATTTAAATAGATTTGATTCAAAATCAATTCAGACGAATGGAAATTCGCTTAGTCAGCAGGTTTGCTGTGGCGGGGGTATTATATGTATTTACCGTCTTGTAAAAAACAGTATAAGTGTAAATATATTATTATAAGTGTTATTTGACGTACTTTTTGTTCTTTCAGATGAATTTAAAAGATAATTTCCTTTTTAAAAGACCAAACTATTAAAAGCACGACCAAACAATTAATGCCCTTAATATCACAATATTTTCATGTAGGCAAGATGATGCTGTATCCGGTTCTCTGACATTGAATTGTCTATTGTGCAATAGTGTACTGTCCCTGAATTTTCTTACAATAGTAATTTTATCAGTCAGACTTGTGTGCTAGCTGTGTTTGGTGCGTTAACGCAAGCAAATACATAGCTGACCTTTATTTTACTGCTTTTTAGATTTGGTAATGATTTGCTTAAAATTGAAAACTCTATAATAAAATTTTGTCTATTGATTTTCACTTTCAATTATTCCTATCCACTGCCAGTTATTAGGATCGGCATTGACTCTTGACTATCAATTCTCAATACCCATACCAATGTTCCAGAATAGGTGGCATCAAGAATCGACACATCCCTACACTAAAGCTTCTTGTTTCTTTTTCTTCTTTTCCTGTCTTTTTCCGCATCATACTGAGTAATCAAAATCAGGTGATCTGATAGATCATCACTTTGCCGTTGTTTGCTAACCACAACTCAAGTCACCGTGCAGACAATGTATCACAACACAACAACCTAACTCAACTTACAATACAGAAGGTTATATAAAGCTTTACAGAAGGTTATATAAAGCTTTTTTATAAATGGCAAGATACAAACGGCACACGTCATGTTCTACTTCGGAAAATGTAAATAAAACGTTACTAAGAACACATGATAACTTCTAACAAGCAACAACATTTTTTTGTAAGTAAGAAGGGGTCCCCTTGAGGCAGGGGCCCTCCGTGATTGCTGACCTGGCCAGTCCAGGCCTGAGTATCTCCTTAGATATGCGTGGCCCTGAGAGCAAGAGTAATTAAGTACTGTTGGACAATGTATTAAGGAGTTACATTATGATTGTTGTAGAATGTATCTGTACTTATGTGCAGGAGTCAGCAGTATTGAGTCAGGTAGCTAGCAGTCTACAGGGAGCCAAGCTGGATGCAGTCATCTGTGTGGCTGGTGGCTGGGCCGGTGGAAATGCAGCAAGCAAAGGTACAGCAACATTTAATGACATCGTTTTATTTTAAAACAATACTCCCGCCGCAGCAAACCTGCAGTCTTAGCGAATTTCCATTTCCCTGGTAGTACTTAGGTATGCTGTAACAGGGAGGGTAAAAAAGTGTTTTTTGTTGTAAAATGTTAATACTGTAGTTTATTAAGAAATGAATGTATTTTCTAAATTTGATCAAAATATGTTCATAAACAAGCAAACTGCAACAGTTGACTTATTCTCCATAAAATAACATGGGAATTTTCTCCGTAACTAATAGGCGCTTAATAACGGTTCAATATACTAAATTGTTTTTTTTAAGCTCTACAAAATGTTTTGGAAAGAAATTTGGTGTTTTAGGGTAAAAAATGGGAAAAACCTATTTTTACCCCATAAAATGAATAATAATGAATAATGAATAAATAATGAATAATGAATTTATTTCCTCAAAAACAAACAATCATCAAATCATAAGACAATTCGGAAATTAACTGACCACTTTGTCCAGTATTTGTGGTCAGTGTACACAAAACTTATCTTATCTATACATTAAATGAAGAGTTCAGCCTTATCAGTCCTACTAAAATTATCACTCCTGCTGCTACCTGTAGCGTTACTAAAAATTAAAATATACATATGTGACTGCCTGAACTGTAAATAATGAACACAAAATATATAAAAAACGTACTACAATTTAACGATATGAAAAACATAGATTTTATTCTTAAACATTCCGAAGCAACAAAGTATCATTTATATTACATAACCATTCTTTCAACCTTTTACAAAAACTGTTAACATTATTACTTCTTTTTATCTCAATTGGCAACCTTTAAAAAACAAAAGGTCCCAAAAATAAATACAAATGTTTGAACAGTTCTTTGTTAACTTTAGGGGTCCTGTAAAACAAATTATCTACGCTTCTAGTATCGTAATATAGGTTATCAGTTCCATTATTCCCACTTTTAAGATAAAACAATTTTAATACTTTAAATATAAAAAGATTCTGAATTGGCATTATTTTTGATTGAAAGTATAACGGAAATGAGCTTTCTCTCAACTGTTTATTCAAAATAATTCTTAAAAAATGATTTTGAGTTGTTCTTAAACTATTGATGAAACTTTTGAAAGTACTTCCCCAGCATATTGATCCATATTGCAAACGTGAATGTATTAGTGCGTAATAAAGTGTTTTCAATAAATGCTCTTCACAAAAATGTTTCAAAAAATAAAATTTTCTAATTGACCTTTTGATGTTTGCATGCAGAATTTGAATGTGTTTTCCCACGTAAATTTTTCATCAAAGTGTATCCCAAGGTCACATTGGCAATCTACACGTTTGCAGCCTTGTATGTGATACAAAATAGGAGCTGAAAAAGAAAATTCTCTGTAACCAAAATTTATAAACTTTGTTTTACTAACATTAACTTTCATTTTGTTTTTTAAGCACCAATCTTGGAGTATGCCTAAATCAAACATTAAATTCATTTTTAAAACTTCCTCATCCTTATTAGAATAAAGAAAACCAATATCATCGGCAAAAGCTTGGATTTGACCTTTAAAATTCTTGTCAAGCAAATCGTTAATAAAAACAAGGAATAAAATTGCTGAGGTAACCAAGCCCTGCGGCACACCTACAGTGACGAGCAGTGGTCTGCTGAGGCAGTCACCTACCCGTACTTGCTGTTCTCTGCCAGTCAGGAAGCTGCGGAACCAACTGAGCGCCACACCTCTGATACCAGCTGCCTCAAGCTTAAATAGTAAGATATTATGGTTAACCAGGTCAAAGGCCTTCATAAAGTCAACAAAGAGACCTGTCGTTTTATTGCCATCGTTAAAACTTGAATATATTAAATTTGTAAAATTCAACAGAGCATCTTCTGTAGATCTTCCTCGCTGAAACCCAAACTGCCATTGAGAAAAAAAGTTTATTTGATTGAAATACTTTACTAGTCTATTAACCATTAGCTTCTCCAATATCTTAGAAAAAGTTGAAAGCAGACGGATTGGTCTTATGTTGTTCAATTTTATTAAGTTTGGCTTCTTGAAAATTGGTATTACGCGACTTAATTTTAACTTAGTAGGGAAAATACCTTCACTAAAACTTTTATTAAAAATATAGGTTAAAACATGTGCAATGTATTGAGCTATTTTAAAAATTAATAATGCATTAAAATTGTCGAAACCCGAAGATGTTTTATTTTTTAAACCATTAATGACACCTATAATTTCGTTTTCCGTGGTTGGCACAATAAAAAAAGATTGGCAATGCTGATGTAGACCCAGGCCGGCCAGTGAAGGTGTATCGTTATCAGGTTGCACAATGTTCATCAGATAATGATTAACTCTATCTGCTACACTTTGTGTTTTACTGTCAATAGTTCCATCCTCAGCTCAGCCTTATCAAAACACTGATTACGGGTTTCACCAGTTAGGCTATTTATGACCCTCCACTGTCTAGCGGGGTCCCCATCAGCATTTCGAATATGATTTGAATAATACAATTTTTTGACATCTATTTCAAGTTTTAAATTATTGTAGAACATTTTATAGTGATTTCTTTAAACTAAATCATATGGCCTTTTTTAATTAACACGTACAGTTTTTTCCTTCTACCTATTTTTTTTTTAAGAGACTTGTTGTCATCCAAGGACTTAGTAGTTTAGTAGTTAATTAAATCAAACTTCTCATAACATAAATCAACATTGGTTTCATTAAAAACTTTGTCCCAACTAATAGACTTAAAACAACAATAACCAGGTCCGTGAAGTTGGCGTACCCATATTAGCGTATCCACTTTTGATCATACCAATCGTTAGTTCATCGTTAGTTCTCGATAGTTCCCAAATTTTTTCGTTAGTTCTCAAAAAATAAAAAAGTTATAGCCGATTATAAGTGGATACGCTAACTTCACACTTCCGGGTTCTAGCACGGGCCGTATTCTGAGGAGAAATGTTTACATCTACATACCAATCGTTAGTTCTTCGTTAGTCCTCGATAGTTCCCAAATTTGTTCGTTAGTTCTCAAAAAATAAAAAAGTTATGAGGCATACAAAGTGGGTACGCTAACTTCACAATTGTACAATTTCCAGCGGGAACAGTTTTTTTACTATAAATGCCTATATCTATATACCAATCGTTAGTTCTTCGTTAGTTCTCGATAGTTCTCCAATATTTACGTTAGTTCTCAAAAAATAAAAAAGCTACGAGGCACACAAAGTGGGTACGCTAACTTCACAACTATACAATTTCCAGCGGGCACCGTTTTCTGACTATAAATGCTTATATCTATACACCAATCGTTAGTTCTTCGTTAGTTCTCGATAGTTCTCCAATATTTACGTTAGTTCTCAAAAAATAAAAAAGTTACGAAGCATAAAAAGTGGGTACGCCAACTTCACAATTATAGAATTTCCAGCGGGCACGGTTTTTTTACTATAAATGCCTATATCTATATACCAATCGTTAGTTCTTCGTTAGTTCTCGATAGTTCTCCAATATTTACATTAGTTCTCAAAAAATAAAAAAGATAAGAGGCAAACAAAGTGGGAACGCCAACTTCACAATTATAGAATTTCCAGCGGGCACAGTTTTTTTACTATAAATACCTATATCTATATACCAATCGTTAGTTCTTTGTTAGTTCTCGATAGTTCTCCAATATTTACGTTAGTTCTAAAAAAAAAAAAATAATAACGAAGCATAAAAAGTGGGTACGCCAACTTCACAATTATAGAATTTCCAGCGGGCACAGTTTTTTTACTATAAATGCCTATATCTATATACCAATCGTTAGTTCTTCGTTAGTTCTCGATAGTTCTCCAATATTTACGTTAGTTCTCAAAAAATAAAAAAGATAAGAGGCAAACAAAGTGGGTACGCCAACTTCACAACTATACAATTTCCAGCGGGCACCGATTTCTGACTATAAATGATTATATCTATATACCAATCGTTAGTTCTTCATTAGTTCTCGATAGTTCTCCAATATTTACGTTAGTTCTCAAAAAATAAAAAAGCTACGAGGCACACAAAGTGGGTACGCTAACTTCACAACTATACAATTTCCAGCGGGCACCGTTTTCTGACTATAAATGCTTATATCTATACACCAATCGTTAGTTCTTCGTTAGTTCTCGATAGTTCTCCAATATTTACGTTAGTTCTCAAAAAATAAAAAAGTTACGAAGCATAAAAAGTGGGTACGCCAACTTCACAATTATAGAATTTCCAGCGGGCACAGTTTTTTTACTATAAATGCCTATATCTATATACCAATCGTTAGTTCTTCGTTAGTTCTCGATAGTTCTCCAATATTTACATTAGTTCTCAAAAAATAAAAAAGATAAGAGGCAAACAAAGTGGGAACGCCAACTTCACAATTATAGAATTTCCAGCGGGCACAGTTTTTTTACTATAAATACCTATATCTATATACCAATCGTTAGTTCTTCGTTAGTTCTCGATAGTTCTCCAATATTTACGTTAGTTCTAAAAAAAAAAAAAAATTACGAAGCATAAAAAGTGGGTACGCCAACTTCACAATTATAGAATTTCCAGCGGGCACAGTTTTTTTACTATAAATGCCTATATCTATATACCAATCGTTAGTTCTTCGTTAGTTCTCGATAGTTCTCCAATATTTACGTTAGTTCTCAAAAAATAAAAAAGATAAGAGGCAAACAAAGTGGGTACGCCAACTTCACAACTATACAATTTCCAGCGGGCACCGATTTCTGACTATAAATGATTATATCTATATACCAATCGTTAGTTCTTCGTTAGTTCTCGATAGTTCTCCAATATTTACGTTAGTTCTAAAAAAAATAAAAAAGTAACGAGGCCTACAAAGTGAGTACGCTGACTTCAAAATTATAAAATTTCCAGCGGGCACTGTTTTCCGACCAAAAACACTTATATCTATTTACCAATTCATCTTCACACAATGAAAATCAAAGTAACACCGACATTAGAATAACTATCACATTATGATTCTCTCGAA